CTTAATCATTGACAACACAGACACATCCCGTAGACACAGTTGCTCGAATCCAAGACCTTGAGAAATCAACATTCCTCTTAATCACTGAGACCACTTGATGGATCAATTAATAATAAAAATTAAATAATGTAATTTGATTAAATTAAATATTCATGATCAAAATTAAAATTAAATTCAATAATCTAAATATAAATTATATGATTAATGATAAATTTACACTTTTCATCTTATAATTTGTAATTAAATTTATTTATTAATCCATGATGTTATCTATATGAACTATATAAAATGAAAAAGTAGCCAAATTTATGTTCTTTCCAAAATAGTAACATGTTTTACTTGAGAAATTAAGATTTTTAATTCACATTTCAAATATAAATATTTCAAATATAAATATTTTAATTTTAATATATTATCAAAGGCCACTCTACTACACCTACAAAGCATATAAATTAATTTTGTGTTTCCTATATGTTTACAAATTTGGGGTAGGTTATAAACTTTTTTTAATACCTTATAATACAAAATAATGGAAATATTAATTAATATATATAATAATTATGAAATAAAGTAAAGTAGAGGGGATTTGCCTCTTGCATTGGGGGAAGGAGCACTAGCCACTAGGGAATCCCTCTCCTCTATAAAGGAATGTTAAGGTTACAAAAATGATATGCAAAAAGAAAGAAAAATCTCATTTTATATTCTTTCTTTCTTGAACTTCCCAAAAGATTAATCCGTCCCTTTTGCTTTACCTTCTTGTCTAGTTCTTTAATTTTGAATATTTGCACTCCATACACAACTCTTTAAATCACATTTTTTTTTTTTTATAAATAATTTGTTAAAATCATAATATTATGAATATAATAAATTAATTTAAAAAATTACATTAATAATAATTTTCACGGTACTTAATTTGAATTAATTGATCAATAAATTAAATAACTAATTTTTTATTAACAAAGACTCTTTTGTATTTGAGAGAAGATTCTTGTAATCAGGGACGAACACAAAATTTTATGTTAATGAATGAATTTAAATTTTTTTAAGGGACGTTGAATTTATAAAATTTCATACGATGAAAAAAAAAGTCAATCAAAAATATAAAAAAATATTTGAAATTTTTATGGAGCCACCGACCCTACCCGATCCCTCGTTCGACATATGGTTGTAATCTCTTCAACTACTAATGCTTGGCCAATGGTTTTTCTCTCTCTCAATCAAATCATAATATAAAACATGGGTGATGACCCCATTTTTGTTGCTTTGCTTTTTGTGAGGGAATTTGTATGTTGTGTTGTTATTTTACCCTGAGAACACCTAATCCACTTTCTTTTCTCTTATTTTATTTTTGTAGAATCGTATTGATGAGAAACACACTTGATAGTTCAACAAGTAAGCTAATGGAGAAACCGAGCCAACTACAACAACAAGCCCTAAAGTGTCCTCGGTGTGATTCATCCAACACTAAGTTCTGCTACTACAACAACTACAGTTTGTCTCAGCCTAGACACTTTTGCAAGGCTTGTAAGCGTTATTGGACCAACGGAGGCACTCTAAGGAACATTCCCGTCGGCGGAGGATGTCGCAGAAACAGGCGTCACAAGAGGCCTTCTCCCGCCATTATTGTCGGTGGTGCGAATCCTAACCCTCAAATATCTCAACCTCGAGTCGATGTTTTTTCAACCTCAAGTCACCATATCAACAACCCTTTGTTTTACGATAGTAACCCTTCTGATATGAATCTCCCATACCACGATTTCCAATCTCAAATGAATGCTCTTGGATTAGGGTTTTCTTCTGGGGCTGTATCAGATGAATGGTACCCTAATATCTTTGCATCCTCCACATCACCACCAATGCATCATTGTTAGCTTCTACTCTTCACCAACACAAGTTCATCAGTTGTGGCGTAGCCTTATCTCCTTTTAGATCTTCACATGACCGAAAGTGAGCTAACGATGAAAGACATCGAAGTCGAAGAATCGAAAAGAAGAATGGAATGGAATGTACCATTCCAAGCTCAGCCAGAGCGAACCGGTTCATATGAAACCGTTGGTGGTGCCTGTCATGGTCAAGCAAACATTGGGTCCTCGGTCACTTCTCTGATCTAGAAGAAAAAGCGAACTTATACATCTCTATATTTAAGTGTTGTTGAAGCATACAAGGGAGAAGATGGGATCCGAGTGTTCACGTCTACTGCAATAATATTCAGATATTGCGCCGAGAGAGACGTCAGATCCTCTTCATCCTCATCGCTTGAAGTTATCGTCCTCTTTTTCATCAATCACCATCAACATATGAAGCTTGTTGAAGAATAAAGAATATAGCATAGGCTTAGTTCCTTTTGCTTCATTTGTTTAGTAATTTGGCTTCTATGTTGTATGAATATATAAGTTGCGTGACATGTACTTGTTTTTGGGTATATGTCGTTGTCCTCAGTTAAAGATCAGATATGAACTATTTTTTTTTCCCATTTTCTGGTTTTGGTATAATGAATGTTATTCAATTGCAAAGTGCCATTGATTTACTGTAATTGGTATGCTTTAAAACAGCGTAGCCGCCAGCGCCGGTAGTGGTACTTGCCGACCGGGTGTCCCAATTGTCTCCCATTGCATTAAGTGTGGTTTTTTTACTGCTTGTGGTTGAGCTCACCTTTGCATTAAACTTCCAATGCCCATCGATCCAAAGAAAAATAGTAATTGGACCTGTACCTCACCATTAAGCATCACAAAATAATGAACTATAGATAGACAGCATAATCCAATTTATCCAATGATAATAAAAACCCATACGACATCATAAAGCTTAAAAAATCCAAATCGATACAGTCATCGGCCTTACTTATATACTGATTTTTTGGTATTAATAAATTATTTGAGCACTCTTTTTCTTCGTCCGCTTGGGTTCGAACTTCGACTTGAATTCAGATATGAAAGAGTTTTCAATAAGGTTCATTTCTTTTAAAAAAAAAATAGCAACATACAATACAAATTTAAAATAAAAAAAATAAAAAATTCTAAAGTTTTAGAAAGATTTTACAGAGTTCGTAAAACATAAAGATTGAAAGGAAACCCTGCGTTAAATTAAGAACTAGCGGAAACATATACCAAATGATAAGAAAATGCACAGGTAAATAGTCTAAACCCTTGATGTTTATGATGGATGATCTGGAAAAAAAATAAGGGTTAAATTCTCAAACAAACTTTGAAAATAATTTTTATATTTGATTGATGAATGAATATTACATAGGTCAATGTCTATTAATAGACCTCTAAATTCCTAAAAAAAAATATGTAGAATACATAGAGTTATCTTTGAATTAAATTAAGATAAATAAACAAAATAGTAAATAATGTAATCTTGGTAATATTTAATTTACTTTATAATTATAAATTTCATCATATTTATATTTCTTTTAAATAATGAAAAAAATGTTCATAAAAATATTATAATATTATCTTCACTCACAATGAATGTATGGCAAAAATTAACATAATATTATATGGCTCCACCAAATCCAATATGAAAGATTGACGATATCATATCTTGACAATTCCAAGACACCCACACGTATTTTCTTGTAGGTGATGAAGCAAATAATCATGCGGTAATTGCCATAATTGACATATCCAAATTGTCCACCCAAAATATTTCAAGCACTTCAACTCAAGTTTATTTCCATCAACAGTTGCAGAAAAAGAATCCCAACTCATATATTGCCGTCTTTGAGTGCTTCAAATTTACCTATAAGGTATGGGTAAAGTGATGGGATGACGAAGGTCGGCAATTGCAATTGTCACTCAGTCGCCCCACCATGCATAACAACCAATCTATCTTTCCTTCACAACTTCTACAATGACATCTCACTTCAATTTAGGGATAAATAAAACACGATTTGATTTAAAAGAATTAAATTTTTTAATTCAATTTGATGTTAAAAACTTCAATTTGATTTAACTTAATTCGTAATTTCATAAGTTCGGCTCGAAACTTTTTTAAATGAAGTTTGAGTTGTAAAATATAACTCGAATAATTCGATTTTTTAATAATTATGAATTGATTTTTTAGTTCTTTAACTCTACATGATATGTATATTACATATGAAAAATATGAAGAATTATATATTGTTATGAAATTAATTTAAATTGAAATCAATTAGTACCATAAAATTATAAATATTTATAATTAAATTTTAAAAAACTCAAACAACTTAAACCGATTCGACTAAAAAATTAAATAAAATTTAAGTTAGAAATCAAATTAACTAACTCAAAATGTTTTAACTGCACTAAACTAGATTAAAATTTCATCCCTAAACAGGGGAAGATGCACTAAACCCCTAGGGGTCAAGTGCATCTCCATTATTTAGAAAAAAAAAGTAAAATTTAATATAATATGTTAAAGAAAAAAGGAAATAATTTTTTTTTACACCCTCGTTATTTTTTTTAAAAAAAAATTAAAATTTTAAACATCATTTATAAATTTTTGGATCCCGTAAGTACTATGCAAACAAATAAGCTTTTTGTTTCATCTATGGACCCCGTTTACTATCATTGTTCTGGTTTTGCATAAGACAACGAGTTGAACTAGATTAAAACCAAGCATAGAATTGCAGCAGCTCAGCTAAACAGACAATTGAAGGGAGAAGAAGAAACATTATGGAGGACCATAACCAGAAAGATCAGACCATTGATTCGGATTCAAAAACCTGTCCGGTGGTCTTACCGGTTTCCGGTGTTGCCATCGGTGTTGTTGTTGATACTCCATAAAGCTGCTTCAGAGTTACTATTGTTGATGACACTTTGATGCCAAGAATTTCCCTCTCCAATGGGTATATTAATGGAGATAACTGTGTTTGCTGAATCGGTTGATGATGTTGTACTTGTACTCAAATGAAGAAGGGACGCCATATCCCTGCAAAAGACCCAAATTTGAAGAACCACCGCCAAGAGGAATTGACTGAATTGCCGGCAAAGACGACAAGAACCCACCACCGGGATTCAATGATCCCCTGAAGAAGAGACAACAGTTTGTTTTTGAGCTTCTTGTTGTGGTGTTTGTACTTGAATCTGCGGCTGAAACGAACCTGAATTTTCACCGGAAGAAGGGACCTTCGAGCGTTTCCTTTCCGGCAACCACCCGCCAACGGGCACGTTCTTCAGGGTTCCACCTTGAGTCCAGTACCTCCTGCAACCCTTGCAGAAATAACGAGGTTGAGAGAGGCTATAATTGTTGTAGTAACAAAACTTTGTGTTCACCGAGTCACAACGAGGACACTTTTGAGGTAACTGCTGTTGGTTACTCTCGCCAGCCGCCGCCGGCAACGGTTTCAACCTCCGATCATGCGGTGGCTGCATATCTTTAATCTGAAATCTATATTGGGGACGATCTTTATCTTGTTTGCATGCCTATATATCACTTTACCTTACCAACCCACTAAAGGAAAAAGATGGCACCAAAATAATGGAAAGATCCGCTTAATAACTTAACAAAAGTTTCACAAAGAGGAGAGAAAATCACATACCATTTACGTATGAATGTACAATTGTTAATAGATGTCTTTAAATAGATATTGTCTCGTATTTATCTCAAATTAATAAAAAAAAGTGGGCGTTAATTTAGACAATGTGACACAATCGATTAATTTTTAGTCATGAATTTGCATATTGTGTTTATAGACAAGTATTTGGTCCAGTCGAGTTAAAAATTGATTCAGTAGAGTTGAAAAAGTTTAATTTATGATTTAAATTTTATTTAATTTTTTTGAGTTGAATAGAACTTTTTTGATTTCTCTTTAAACTTAATTGTATTGTTTTATAATATTATGATATATATTGATTTCAATTTGTAATATATCATTCTCCTCATGTTTCCTCTTTTTAAATTTTGTCGGGGATTTTTTGAGGGATTAATTCTCATTACAGACACGCATATGAAGACTGTTCAATATTATTTATTTATTTATACATGCATTACTTTTATCTTTATTTTTAATTTTCTGATTGCCGCAGGTCTTCCACGGAAGCTGCTCTCAACCTGGCGTTGGGGGCAGCCTACTACCCTACCTCCCCTTACCCTATTGCATATGAGAATAGGGTTTTGTTGTTGTTGTATATGTTATTTTTTTAATAATATGTTTTTCAGAATAAATTATTGATGGGAGTATAAATGATCAAAGGAAATGATGGGAAATTTTTATTTTTTTACAAAAAGACTACCAAATTAAATAAAATAGGACTAAATTACAAAAAGAATAAATTTGTTGTTAGTAATAATAAGTGAAGTTAGATACATACTCTATAGTATTAGTGAAACATTTGATTTAAATTTTATAAAAAAATAGACTTAAAACGAATAAGTAATCGAAGAAATATAGAAACCATGTAAAAATGAAAGACTAAATAAAAGTTTAATTTTCAAAAAGATGAATTGAAGCTACATATGCATTATACAATATAGGAGTGTATGGTTCAAACTTGATAAAAGAAAATAAACTTCAAATGAAGGAAGTGAAGAAATAAAAAGAAATTAGGGACTGAATTGTAACGCTATCAAATTTGGATTTTTGATTTTTCAATTGAAAAATCTAAACTCGAACTGAACTAGAAATCAAATTAAAATTCAAATCGACTTGATTCAAATAATTCAAATTAAAAAAATCAACTTTTTTCAAATCGGATTGAATTTTGTTCACCCCTGTTTGTATAAACTAATGTTATTAAAGGTATCTGCTTTTCCATGTAAAATCACCACTTCAACATTTTTACATTACAATCAATTCAATATCTGGCAGAATCTCAATCTCTGTCCTCAATAAATATAACCCTTTGTTTAATCTTAGATGCATACCAATTAAGGCAGAAATGATAAATTTAACCACAATAATAAATGAATAAAACCCAAGAATGGTATTCAAATGTTAAGAACAAAAGAATCAGTTCCTTCTGTTACGTTGATTCTGGTTGATCATCTCGTACGATCATTCGGTATTGAGTCCGTCTCTCGCATCTAATGTTCGACGGAACCAAACCAGTCTGTTCAAGAAACCTGCATACATAATCCAATCAACCAAATTAAGGTCTATGCAGAGTAACAGTTTACTACTAGAAACAAAGATTAGATGCAATGCATATAATTACTTGCTTGCATAGAGATCGTCATAAGAAAAACAGGCCATTTGATAGCCGTCTTCCCTCGACTTTATTGTTCTAAATCTGGGAAAAGAACTAAGCAAGCATTCGAGAATCAACATATTTCGAACACGATCGAAATGAAATTCCGGACCCCCCAACTTTCCCCTGTTATCTAAACCATGTTGTGTAAGCAACTGCAGGTTCAACCCTAACTTCAATATAATGTAACAGATCATATGACAACAGGCATACAAATGTTGTAAGCTATAAATCCATCAAGCTTATGAAATTTCAAATTCAACATAGCTTAATAAGTATGCTCTCAGATCCAGCTAGGGGATAGAAATTTCAAATTTTCGTATGTTTTAAATATTTTATTTATATTTTCTATTGTAATTGTCATCGCTATCTAAAATTTTATAATCATACAGAGTCTCATGGGTTACTTTCAAGTAATGATCAAAACATGGATAACACATTTAGTATCTCCAAAATCATAATGAATGGATCAAAATTTAGCTAAAGAATCAAGAAACAGTACGAGTTAAGAAGCAAGAAGAGGGCGAGGCGATGAGACGAGGAAGCAACATGAAGAATCAATGAAGAGGCAGTAGGGAGAAAGCTAAACCCCACATAACAGCAAGGGAAAGACCCAACATCAAAACGTTGATTTTAGTGTGTTCCATGTTGGACCCTGAAACCCAAACCACAAAAAAATCAAAACTCGATGTTATCAGTAACTGCCTAAAGATGGCTGCAAATATCAATCGTTGAGAAGGGAATTGAACCGACGTGACGCCAGGAGCTAAAGCTCCAAGTAAAACTGTTTGGGCTGATGATATAACCAAATCATAATAATATAAAACAATCGGTATCTAATCATGATAAATCATAAAAAATAAAAATAAATTAGATTTACGGAATCATAAACTCTCTGATGAGAAATATAAGATCACTCATTTATATATAATTTAAGAAACAATTATTGTATGTATTTATAATCTGTTTCTCGTCAAATTATAAATATAATATTAATAGTATCTACACTTTTATTTTCATGATACTTTTAATATTTTAATACTTTATAACATAATTAATTATTTAATTTATGTCATATTTTATATAATATAATAATAATACATGCTCATAATTATATATTAAAAATCCAATCCTGCTCACTGTTTCTTTTCCATTGAGCTTCTTTTTGGATCTCTTTAGATCTTGAATTTGAGATACAGACATCGGGAAGGAAAGTCTGAGACTTTACTCGACACAACTGGAGCCGAAATCTCTTTGGTGGTATTTGGTTCGCTAAATGTTTATGAGGGAATTAAAATCGTGAAAGAATTGGAATTAGAATCTAAACCTGTTTGGTTGGCAGGAAATTGAATTGAATTCAATTTTATATTTTATTTGGTTCGCAGACATGTCATGAATTTGATTTCAATAATGTAAAATGACAGAATTACCCTTTTTGTTTTTTGCTTAATTTTAGTTTTTTTATAACTTACATGTAGTAATATATTATAAAATTTAAAAAATATTAAATTTTCATTTTATTGATTGATTATTCATTTCAATAAATTATAAAAATCATACTAATAAATATTATAAGTTAATATCATCCCAATTAGGGATGACCATGGGTCAGGTTGGGTCGGGTTTTTGGTCCACCCGACCCGACCCGATAACAAGGGAACCTCCACCCGAGACCCGACTCGACTCGACCAAAATAAAGTTTCACCCGACCCGAATATATGAATTAGAAACCTAACCCGACCCGAAATAATAAAAAACTTATTTTTATTCAATAAAAACAGTGACTTGATTGAAAAAAATTATATATAAAGGGGTATTATTGTAATTATTCTTAAATATATAAGGTAAAATTATTTTCGGGTCGGGTCGGATATTTTCACCCTAAACCCGAACCGACCCAAATATCACACTTAAAAAAATCAGACCCGAATATCACACTTAAAAAAACCCGACCCGACCCGACTCGAATATCAAACTTAAAAAAAACCCGATCCGATCCCAAATTTTTTAAAAAAAACCCGACCGACCCGATTATCAAACTTAAAAAAACCCGACCCGAATATCAAACTTAAAAAACCCGACCCGACCCAAATCCGAACCCGTATTTTTTTTAAAAAAATCCGACCCAATCCCGAAATTTTTTAAAAAAATCCGACCCGAATACCAAAATATTGATGAGGGTAGTATGGTCAAATTTCACATTCCCTCCTCCAAATATTTCAATTCTATCATGTTATGGATGTAATTTACTTTCTCTCCCTTGATGAAATTGGATTTCAATTCCCCCTTTGAAAACTTGAACCAAACATGGGAAAGTGATGGAATTGGATTCCAATTCCCCCTAATTCCAAGGGATTCCAGCGAACCAAACGTCACCTAAAAGTAACTAAACGAGGAAATCAGTTTATTGGTTCAACCGGTTTGGCAGTTAAAAATAGGGTAAACCATACGTGTAGTACCCAATTATCTTTTATTTCGTTTGGTCATTCACTATTTTTTAATAAGATCACATCTCACATCTAATTTTAGTTTTGGTTTTATTTTGATCATTTATCGTTAAAAATTAACGTTAATCTAACATGTCACCATAAGATAATACCATAGTATCATTAAGAAAATAAAAAGAATATATTCAGTTAGATTTTAATGGTGGTGATCAAATGAACAAAAATTAAACATTAAGTATGATTTTTTAAATAATTGAGTGACCAAAACAGAATAAAGTAATAATTGATGTGCTAAACATGTAATATACCCTTAAAAATAACCCAAACCAAGTAGATGAGAATTAGGTTTCTTTATATATAAAAAAAATTGAATTGACTAAACATGATTTTATTAAAATTTGTTTAGGTCATATGAACCTATAAGAATCATGAGTTAATTACAACTTTTTTGAAGAATATTATATTCGAGATATTTCGTTCAGAGAGATTATCTCTAAATTTTGTGGAGTTTGAAGATGTCAAAAGTTCATTAAGACTCTAGCCCTCTTATAATTTTGAGAATAAGAATGGGATGATTCGTGTGCGTTAGAGAAAAACGTGATAAGTATTTTGATCTAAATGCGCGTTCTGATGAACTTTCACGTAAATAAATGCGTCTTATTGAGTATGATATCACCGGAGCAAAACAGGCGATGTAGAACGTGTCTTATCACAGTACATAATGAGTGTTAGATCAAA